ATACACTAGGCTATATCAGCCCCACCAAAAATATTTTTCACCAGCCGCCACTGCCATACATGTAAACATAGTTTTATGGAGCCCCCAGGAACTTGGGGCCCTAGGCAACTGCCTAGTATTGCCTAATGGTAAATCCGCTCCTGGCCCTTGGCTGGTCCCCTAAGGTTTCTTTTTTAACAGCAATCTCTGTACTAAAATGTTCTGATTTGAGGACATTAAGATCTAAAGAGAAGTACCTTCTCCTGGTCAGAACCTGTAATTCAGTGAAAGGGGGGAGTCAGAGTAAACAAATATGCACGCCCAGGAGAAGGAGGGGTCACTCCAGTTGCTGGAAGTTGGCGGCCATTTTGAAATGCTGCTATGGTACTAGATGATTATAGAATCACTACATAATAAAATTTAAAAATAAATTACATCTCAAAATATACTAATGCTTTAACAATGTTCTCCGAGGGTCCCCTATATAAATGACAGTCAAACTGCATCGTAAACCCAAATAAGTTACCAGAAGTAAAACATTTTGAGGCGGTCAGGTACCTAATTTAGCCCCAAAAAACTTAGAATTACAAGTTATCATAACATTTCTTTTTATTTATTCCTAATTTAGATTTCAATGAACAAGCAGTGATGTATTCTCTCAATACTTCACTATTTCTACTTCATTTCTTCTCTTCTTTGTTTTCATTCCCTTGTGTTAAAATCCTCATTTTGTACTCCCCCAATAAAGGAAAATGTGAAAGTTTGCATTGCTAAAAAAAGTTTTAATTTAAAGTAATATTTACAAGATTTTGGTCTGGATTTTAACCATATCCTAAATCATGCCGTCAAACTTCGGGCTAAATAGAAGATAAAGGATTATCAGGATAATAAAGGGATTTATGTTTTTTCTCTGGTAATTGGTAACCATCTTGAACCTGCTTGCCTTGTGGCATGCTGACACTAAAAGAAACTAAACATGAGGTAAATGATGGAGATGAGCAGCAAAGACACACCGGGTGCTGGACATAAATGCATCACTTGTCGTGTAAATTTTTGCCACATGTAAAACAGCGAACAGGACTCCAGAGGGCTGAATCTGGGTCATCTCACCTTTTAAGCAGCTGCCTTGCTATCTTTGCAAGTGCCTGGAAACAGATCATTGCTTTTTAAACCCTTGCTGTCTTTGCAAGTGCCTGAAAACAGATCATTGCTTTTTAAACCCTTGCTGTCTTTGCAAGTGCCTGAAAACAGATCATTGCTTTTTAAACCCTTCATGCATATTCTGGCAAAAGGTCACAGCTGATAGAATCCCCATTATGATAACCATCAAATCTCTAGTAAGCTAGTTATTACCCTTCATTTATAGCATTAACTGTGTTAAAAAGGCAGAACTGTAGTTGAGTCTGTAATCTTAAACCTCCAAGACAAACATGCTTTGTTATTGTTCAAGCAGTTGAGAACACCTGCTTCCTGACAAAGTAGAGGCCACATGTTTTTGCTATAAAGGTTATTATGCTAGTCTTGCTGAAATATGAGGGACAATTTTAATTAGGTATTGATAGACTCAGTCAATTCATTACAGTTTATTTTATATAGCACTGATTGACAGATGTGTCAAAGCCCTATACAATAAAAACTATTCATACAGAAATATCAATTAAAATCCAAGTATATAATGTATTCAAAGTTCATTACATACATTCCAATAAGACAATGCAGTCAAGTTCAATTTAAATGAGCCAGCAGCAAAAAACGTTAAAAAGAAAAAACGTTAAAAAAAACCCACAGCAGATTGTATAGGTTCACCAACTCTAAAGCAACATAAAGCCACATGCATACAGAGCATGCATGTTGCAAAGGTGTAAAGGAAAAAAAAAACTTGAACAGGAAGAACCTATAGCAGAAAAAGGTCACATGCTTTTACCACTAGGCTTTTGAAAGATGGGCACACATTTGTAAAAGAAACTGAAGTACTGATTCAGGATTAGTTTAGATGTTAAAGAAAAGTAGAAAGTTAATGCCAGAAGCAGTTAAAAAAAATGAAAGGTTGTTGGTCACAGCCATATAGCTCCACGTCTGCATGAGAGACACTAAAAACAAAAAGAGTCACTCATTTATGGGGAAAGAGTTATTTCAGAAGTAGTTCAGGGTATGGCTTCTCCAACATACGGTTCACTTCAAGACAGAAACACTGAGGCAGATTATCTTCTATTAAAAAAAAGGAGGGTAAAATATTGCTAAAATAACAGAATTGCAAAATTTGAGAATATTAGTAAAATAATAATTCCCCCTTTTCTTCGTAGCTACGCATATACTGTCCCCCATTTTTGCCAAAACCAAAATAAGTGTTTAGAAACTTTAAATGTGCTGCCTCAGCAGCATTGCAAAGTCGTTTATTTTCGACAGTGGCACTGAATGTTTCTCACACACTGTTTTCTATTTTCAGGTGTGACCGAAGAGATTGTCAACCCTATCAGGTACTTATTAGCTAGCCGTAGCCTGTTAGCCTGCTAGCAGCAAATAAGATTAAAATGGACACTCTAGCTCAGGCTTTTAGAAAGCACAGGCCTCAGTGCGGAAAATAACACGAAAAGTAGTGGATAACCTACACGAAAATGTAGATATAGCATAGTAAATATCCACAACATAAACATTTAAATGTTGATACAACATATAGCGACACAAATGTTTCGAAAGAAGCGGTTTAGAGAAACGACAGAGGGAGTTTCCGCTGCAGATCGAAGCTAACGATAGCTAGCTAAAATAATAATGCTGAACAAGGGAAAGTGGTCTTTTTGTTCTCCATCAGCATAAGCCTAAAGTAGCATAACTAAAGCTACATCAGGATAACCTTAGCCTCTCTCACTATTGATCTTTGTCAAAGAGTAAAGTTTAAAGCCATGTCTTAAATGTAAATGAGTTGTCTGCCTCACAGACCAAACCAGTAGTTGGTTCCACAGAAAAAAGCCTGAAAACATAAAGGTTCACCTTGCATTCTAATTTTAGAAACTGTAAGAGCCACTAATAAGCCTGCAGCTTGAGATCAAAGTGCTTTTTTTAGAAACATATGAGACATTCAGTCATCTGATGTATGATGGAGCTTGATTAGTAAGGGCTAATATAATCTGAATTCTTATCAGAACACTTGCTGGTTTAGCATAACAAATGTGACTAAATTTCTAGACATCCTGACAGGAAATGATTGCATTAACTAACCTTTGAAGCAACAGGTGGATTAACTAGTTTTTTTGCATAACTCTGAACAGTTCTAATTTTAACAACACTGCAGCAGAGATAGAAGGAAGTCCTAGAAACCTGTTTTAACGTGATAATTAAATGGCACATCCTGGTCAAAGATGATATGAAGGTTCTTCACATTATTAGGGAAATGTAATGTCAGCTATATTAAAAGGACTGACTAAGCAGTTTCTTTTGCAAACACTTTGATGAGGAAAAAAAAGACACTCTTTCAGTTTTTTACGTGATCAAGACATGCCAGGGTAGCTAACTGACTGAATATAAATATAGCAGAGTGCAGTCAGCAAAATGATGTAAATTTTTCTATGATGGAAAAATACATGAAGAAAGTTAGTCCAAGCACCGAACCCTGTGGCGCTCCACCATAAACCATTACTTGCTGTTTATGAGAGAAATATTATCTGTCAGTCTACAGTGTCAGTACCTGCTCAGTTTTTCTCTTATTCACAGGTTGTCATTTTTTCCATTTAAACGCTGCACATATGTTTTCTCCCTTTAACAACCTGTCAGCCTTTTGAACCAGTTAAATAAGTCTGATGCGTGAGTTCTGTAGCGTTTACACTCCGGGGCTGATCTCGAGGTTTGCATGACTTAAAATGGGCTCAAATGTATTTTCACGCCCAATGCAGATTTTAAAAGAAGGTACCAAGTGCCTTGTGTTTGCATTTAAAGAGACAGCAGGTGCAAACATTAATTTCTGCATTTGTGCAAAATCTGGGGCCACTATTAGCTCATAGACTTATTATTTATCATTTTATTTGAATTAAGTCTGAATTTCATAACTGAAAGTGCACTTTATTTTAACAGTACATCTTTATTTTTGTCCTATGTTTGAGAAAAAACTTAATTTTATGGAGAACTTTTTGAAGTACTGTTTACTGTTCTGTAGTTTTGTAATTTTTTTTTTTTACATTTTTTGAATAATTATTGGCCGGAATTTAAACCAGGATATTTTTATTCTAGTTTTTTAAAAGTGCTTTAAAAAATAATTAAAAAAACTTATTGTATAAGCGAGTTTTTTTTTATGTTATTGCACATTTGCATTTTTTAAAATGCCCAAATAAAATAAATAAAATAAAAAGATAAAATATGCGATTAATTTGCGATTAATCTTGAGTTAACTGTTGATATTATGCGATTAATCGCGATTAAAATTTTTAATAGTTTGACAGCACTAATATATATATATATATATATATATATATACACATATACACACACACACACACACACACAGGAAGATAGATAATCTTGCAAAGTATCTGCTTTCTTTCTTTTTTTGTTTACTGTTTAACAACTGCCCGTCCCTTTTTTATCAAGAACAAAGTGGGCGGCACACACACTTGAACATACCACTATCATCCCATCCTTTTTATCTTTCTTCCTGCAAACTTTTGTGCTTCAAAATGACTCAAACCAGGCGATTACAGTCGATTCTGAACTGTTTGCTTCCATCACCGTTAGAGATTTTAGATAGAAATCTGAAAGTAAAACTGAGCCGATGACGAGTAACAGCCTCCTAGCTCAGCATTTTAGGTCTTGCACTTTTTTTTTTTTTTCCAAACGATTAATTTCCTGTTAAAAGTCTTTAAAGCCCTTAAATCTCCCAAAATCAATGATGTATTGTAATTGTCATTTTACATAGCCTGGCACAAAGCTGGCATATTTGTGAAGCAGAGTGTTATGGAGCAAATGTTGTTCCATGATTGTTACAAGCAAAGAAGACATTTTTTAATTTGAAACAAAAAAAAAATACAATTCTATGAAAATGTGTTTTATGTTTTTATTTCAGCATCAACATCAATATTTCTCCAAGTGTCTCTGTAGATTTTAGCCAATTGAGTTCAACATAATTTTATTATTTCTACCTATAATGTAAATTTCTGACAACTTGGAAAACTGTTTATCTTTCTTTTAAACAGAGCTGACCTGTGTTGGGCACATTGCTATGAAAAATCGGCCCTCATAAATTCTCCATTGCATTTATAGCCAACAAAGAAGCCTCCTGTTTCAAGGCACAGGGCTTGCCTGAGGTACATCTGCAGGAAGACACCCACGCGCACACTTGCAAAAGTAGAAGCAAATTTAAAAAACCTCAACCAAAGAGACTAAACAGGGCATCTTTGTTTAAGCAATGTCAAGCATGTTAAGATAAATAGTAAAATGGATAAGACTTTAGGAAGGAAATGGTTAAAACCCAACAACAGCTCACCATTCCGATGAACGTTATCTCTCCCTGAAGTAGCAGTTTAAAAAACGTATATTGTGAATTCTTAATCTGCTCCATCTGACAAAAAGAGAAAAAGATTTTCACAAGCCAGAGCATTGAGACATCTTTGCAGAACCTTTATTTCACATTCTTTGGTCAGCGCACAACACCAGCATTTTTTAAAAACAGACAAAAGGTGACACTTCCCTGACATGCAGGAGATCTCACAAAGACAGTGGCCGAGCAGCCCGGTCTCTCTGGTTTCTGCTTGCCACAGTAAACAAAGCAGTGTGGGGTAGATGTCCTACTGAAAGGACTGAGGTAATTTTCCAGAAGTCAACCCTAATCTCATTACCTATTTCATCTCATGCTCTAGACATTTTACTCTACTTTAAGAACGCTGCTTTGCAAGGGTAAGTGTCAGCAAAGCGGGGTGTACAGAGGAGGAATGTTCTCACAGCTGCACAGTACAGCCTCCCGAACAGCCCTGAGCTGCTCTGCTTCACCTCTGGGTGTGTCGCCGCCCTCCACAGCTCATGAATGTCCTCCACGTGGCCGTGAGAGGTCATCATCTGTTCGTAGATGCATGGGTGGTACGGTGCCTTGCCCTCCCCTGAGAAATAGTTGTGCGTCTGCGGCGACACGTTGACGGCGTTGGCGCAGATGCCCATGAATACGTCATCGATGTAGATCGAGGCGTTCAGGGTCAGCGTGGCGTGGTAGATCTTGTTGGCCACGTCGCTGGAGATGACGTAGCCGGCCCCTGCGGTGTAATCGGGGTAAGACGACCACTGGTACATCTCGTAGGAGACGTAGTACTTGCTGTCCTTTTTGCGGATGGGCGGCGCCCCGACATGCACCCGGCCGACCCAGAAGTCGGTGACCCCCCTGCTGCTGAGCTCCTGCAGGTAGGCCACCAGGTTGGGCATGTGCACGAAGACGTCGTCGTCGGCGGTCATGAAGAAACGGGCGTGGGCGCAGCGGCTGTGCATCCAGTGGAACTGCAGGAGGAGTTTGAGGGTCAGGTTGTGGAAGGAGTCCAGAAAGTTCTTCTGGATCAGGTCGCCGTGGAGCCGGTCCTCCTTGACCAGCAGCTTCTGGAATCGGCCACTGCTATTTTGTCTCTTCGTCCTGAGGGATCCCAGGGCGAACACCACCTTGACTGTCACCCCCAGGGTGTTCTGGATGTAGGTCTCATTACCCCAGGTGGATCTGATGGCGTTTCGCCTCTCGGTGTTCTCGGGGAAGGATTTCACAAAGACGAGTAGGAGCACGTCCTCGCCGGTGCACTTGTCTGGGTGGTCCAGCAGGTAGGGAAAGTCGCTGAAGCTTCTGGCCTGCTCACGGGGAATGGTGAGGCTCCTGTTGATGTAGCTGAAGCTGTTGACCAGGTAGCGGAAGGAGTAAGACTTGACGTGGCTGACGACGACCGAGTCCAGGTGCTCCCAGCAGATCATTACCACCGACAGCAGCAGGCAGCTGGTCATGAACTTCACCAACTTGCATTTTCTAATCCGCCGGTTATTCAAAATCATCCTGGAATTCGCTCGGCCGTGCGGCAGTGGGTCAGAGCGCGGGCTTGAGAGATGGCAAGGTAAGGGTGCAACAGTTCCTCAGAGCAGCACTTGGCAGGCCTTCCATCCTAGCCTTGCCTCATTTAGCCAAAGGCATATGTAGTGCGAATCAAAGGTTCTGTGTGGAAACGGCCTCCATCACAGCAGAACTGACAGTCAACCAGAGGATCATCTTCCTTCCATGAAGCAGTAGTTCTGCAAAACAAAACAAAAAAGTGTATTGTTATAACTTGGATTCCACCATAGGCCCTTTTTGTTAAAACAGAGAAGTGCAGATAATGAGTAACGGCCTCGTAGGTCAGGGTTTGCACCAAAAGGAATTAGATGCTGGTAATTATTCTGTTGTTCTTTTTCCCCCATATAATGAACTTTAAAAAAAAGTATTTAAAACCTTCAAACATTCCAGAAACATTTATGTATTTAAGTTATATTTTATGATGCAGGTTGAGGAGAAAAGATGAGGAGGAATGAGGAGCAAAGATGCGTTTTGATTGGTCTGCATGAACTGTTTTGGCCAATGAGAGTGTAAAACTAGATCTAACCTGACTTCGCCAGATGGATTTGCTCCGCATATCCATCTGGAAAC